GACAGAGAGAAAGGTATTCCATCCATTGGTTCACTCCCCAAATGGCCACTATGGCTGGAGCTGGGCCCTTCTGAAGCCAGGAGCCAGGAACTTCTTCTGAGTCTCCAACATGGGTGCAGGGGGTATCTTCCACTGCTTTCCCAGGCCATAAGCAGAGAGCTAGATTCGAAGTGGAGCAGCCGGGACATGGACAGGCACCCATATGGGATGCTGGCACCATAGGCGGAGGCTCAGCTCATTACCTCAAAGCGCCAGCCCCCGAAGGTGATTTTTTTAAAAGATGTTTTTTGCAATATACCCCATACTCTGCTTCTCCTATTGCTAGTATCTTACAGTAGGTATATTTTTCATGATATATAAACTGTACCCAGCTTCCTCTACTATAACATGGTAATATAATATGTATTTGTCTCTGTTAATGAACCATACCCAGATTCCCTGTTTTTCAATTCAAACTCCCTTTATCTTTCCTACCCCTCCTTGCCTCTAGTAATCAACATTGTGTTTTTTTTTTTAAAGCATGAATGAATCATGCAGTATTCTTTTTCCTGTGTCTAACTTATTTCACATGGCATAGTCCAGTCCTTTAGTTTTTCTGCCACACTTACTGAAAAAGCCAAAGTAAACTAATATTTGTTAAACATTTACCTTGTGGGGCATTGAAATAACTGTTTTTCCTAAGTATAAGAGTACTTCAAAAAGTTCATGGAGGATGATATGGAATTTAGAGATAAGCTTGTTTTGTTGCAGAAATTTTATTTTATTTTATTTTATTTATTTATTTATTTTTTTGACAGGCAGAGTGGACAGTGAGAGAGAGAGAGAGACAGAGAGAGAGAAAGGTCTTCCTTTGCCGTTGGTTCACCCTGCAATGGCCGCCGCGGCCGGCACGCTGCGGCCGGCGCACCGCGCTGATCCGATGGCAGGAGCCAGGAGCCAGGTGCTTTTCCTGGTCTCCCATGGGGTGCAGGGCCCAAGCACCTGGGCCATCCTCCACTGCACTCCCTGGCCACAGCAGAGAGCTGGCCTGGAAGAGGGGCAACCGGGACAGAATCCGGCGCCCCAACCAGGACTAGAACCCGGTGTGCTGGCGCCGCTAGGCGGAGGATTAGCCTAGTGAGCCGCGGCGCCGGCCATTGTTGCAGAAATTTTAGAAATCATACATTATAAATCTTCAAAAAGTTCATGAAAATGTACATTATAAAGCAACTATGGGTGGTAGGTTTCAGGTTTTTTTTTGCACCAAAATAAACTTGTCTTTTATTTCCATTATCTGTGAACTTTTTGTAGTTGTCTCATAATTTATTTTGCTTTCAAAGCATAAATTATAGATACAGTGCTCTTATGTAGGAAAGGAACAGTGCTGATTACTTTTTGTTGTTAGTTAACAGTGTTGTCAATGTCAGTACCAACCAGTGCCGTTGACAGCTTCATCCTTACTGGGGGTAGTACCAGAACTTTCTGCCAGAGGGACTTAGGATCAGGACCCATAAGAAGTGGCTTTAAGAAGGTAGTTCCTGGGGCTGGCGCTATGGCGCAGTGGGTTAAAGCCCTGGCCTGAAGTGCCAGCATCCCATATGGGTGCCGGTTCTAGTTCCGGCTGCTCCTCTTCTGATCTAGCTCTCTGCTATGGACTGGGAAAGTGATAGAAGATGGCCCAAGTCCTTGGGCCCCTGCACCCACGTGCAAGACCTGGAGGAAGCTCCTGGCTCCTGGCTTCAGATTGGCGCAGCTCCAGCCACTGCGGCCATCTAGGGAGTGAACCAGCAGATGGAAGACCTCTCTGTCTACCTCTCTCTGTAACTCTGTATTTCAAATAAATAAAATAAATCTTTTTTTAAAAAAGAAGGCAGTTCCTTATTTATTCCTGGCATGCTAGGTTAGTCACCCTTTTTCTTATCCATTTTACTTAGCCATCTGAGATATTATTTCTTATGGTTTTATGAAGTATTGGTTTATTCTATGCATATTTCTTGAGTGCACACCCTTAGCCCAATACTATGCAAGAAGCTAGATATGTGCTCATGAACAGGACATTTTGCAAATAACTGCTACAAAAATGAAGATGTAGCTTATGCCAAGTGTATTTATCAAGATAGAACTTTTATGCTACATAGAACACTGGATTCACAGATTCTAAAAGGGAAGTGATTGAATGAATGCTTTCAAAAGTGGAAGTAAAGATGAACATATTTATTCAGTATTGCAGGTAATTTTGAATAGTGGACATGTAATATATTTTATGGGTTACACTTTTATCCATAATATATATGTATATATATTTATACATAATAAAGAGGGTTTGGCTCTATTGAGATGGACGAATCAGCTACTTTCTAAGGTAGTATAACAAATCGTTCCACTTGCTATCTGTGAGGCAGCACTCAGTATGTCCTTTTCTTTTTTTTTTTTGTAAAAACCAAAATTTTATTATGTATTTTTTCTTTTTACAGTAGATTAATATTAGAAAGCAACAATAAAAATATTAGAAATCAAAAATAATAAACTAAAAATTATACAAATACATGAACATTGAGCAACATACTCCTCAATAAAGAAACTTTGATATATATATATATATATATGTCTGTATACATATATACTCATGCACATATATATGATGCAATACTATTCTGCTTTGAAAAAGAATGAAATCCTGACATTTGCAGTAAAATGGATAGAAATGGAGATGATTGTGTTAACGTAAACTAGCTAGACATATGAAGACAAATACAGCATGCTTTTTTTTTTTTTTTTTAATCGTCCCTAGCCTGAGGGCGGGCCCTTAGGGTTGCGCCGGGTTGGGGGAGTGAGAGGCGGGGCTTGGCCTCAGGCCTGAAACTTGGCCTTCCCGAGTATGTCCTTTTCTTAATTTAGTAGATCAAATCCTTAAGTACTATTTCTAGGAAGATAGATTCCTCTAAGTTTGCATAATGGAGTAAATAAAGATATGGCAGACAGGTATGGAATTGGTGTCCTCACTGTTAATTGCCTCCACACTGTTAAGTTCCTCCAAGTGTTTGTGAGGCCTGTGGCTTTTCTAGCTGAGTTTCATTTCTGACCTAAGTGCTGAACTTCTTGATTCTATCAAAAGTCTGATACCTTCGCTTGTGGTCCATGGGTGGGTGTCATCACTTGTGTATCTTCATCATTCTCTTAGGAAGGTCCAGAGATGATGAGCTTAAAAAAGTAAAATATTCCCACCACTAACAACAACAGTCATTGTGCTGTAAACACGGTGTCCTTAACAGTAACTCTGGGGCAGGTGCTGTGGTGCACCTTGGGCTGCCCACATTTCATATCTGAGTGCCAGCTGCTGCGTGCACACAATCCAGCTTCCTGCTAATGAATCTGGGGAGGCAGTGGATGATGGCACAAGAGCTTGGGCTCCCATCTGGAAAACCTGAATGGAGTTCTCTTTCTGGTGCTCTGAAAATAACTTTTCTAAGGTAAGAGTCATAATGAGTTTATTTACTTTTGTTTCTTTATTTGAAAGACAGAGAGACAGAAACAGAGACAGAGAGATCTCCCACCTACAGGTGCACTTCCAGAATGCCTGCAATGGATGGTTCTGGACCGGGAACTAGCTGGGAGCCAAGAATTCAGTCTGGGACCCAAGTACTTGAGCTACTTGATGCTACCCCTCAGGGCTATGCATCAGCAGGAAGCTGGAATTGGAAGTGGAACCAGGATTTGAACCGAGGCAAGCAGAGATGAGATGCAGGCATCCCAAACAGTGTCTTTTTTTTTTTTTTTTTTTTTTTTTTGACAGGCAGAGTGGACAGTGAGAGAGAGAGAGACAGAGAGAAAGGTCTTCCTTTTGCCATTGGTTCACCCTCCAATGGCCGCCGCAGCTGGCGAGCTGCAGCCGGCGCATCGCGCTGATCCGAAGGCAGGAGCCAGGTGCTTCTCCTGGTCTCCCATGCGGGTGCAGGGACCAAGCACTTGGGCCATCCTCCACTGCACTCCTGGGCCACAGCAGAGAGCTGGCCTGGAAGAGGAGCAACTGGGACAGAATCCAGCGCTCTGACCGGGACTAGAACCCAGTGTGCCGGCGCCGCTAGGTGGAGGATTAGCCTATTGAGCTACGGCGCCGGCCCCAAACAGTGTCTTAACAGATGTGCCAAACACCAGCCCCTCATAGTGAGCCTAGCAATGCATTTCTTAGAGCAGACCCATATTCCACAGGTGAATTTCACAAAGCATTGGTGAAGAACAATATGACACTCCCAAGGCCCCAGAAGTTGGGGGTGTGGATTCTAGGGCCAGTTAATTCAATTAAGTTGGGGAGTTTCTGTCTGCTCTTTCCTATTGTAGAGTCACAATGCACGTCAGCCTATCAACAGTCTGTAAGAAGGTCTGCTATGAAGAAATCTCATTAATACTCTTTAACTTGGCCCACCCAATCTTCTTTGACTCCAGCTGTTTTTCTTACTGTACCATCTAGCAGTAATCTTGGAGGTGACCATTCTGCCTGTATTCAGGTTGTTGTCTACCACTGTCCAGCTATTGAAAGCTATCCATTCTGAGTCAGATCTTAACAATCTCAAAAACTAGTAGGTCTCCTAAGAGCTTAGAGAAAAGTTAGTAGCCTGCTGTGTAAGAACTTTGAGGGAAGTTTGTAGTGAGCCTTTTATGTTATTTAGGGTAAACTATTCATGTTATTTCTTTAGCAACACATGAGTTTATTCCTTCAGCAATCTTTGCTCCTCCCAATAAGGCCTTCTAGTGCTCCAATTAGAGCTCAGACTAGCTGATGGCTAAGGAATGAGTAGAAACAGGTGAGCTTCTCCTGTCTGGGCTGTGGCCTGGATTGCATTTTCCCAGGATGTGGTGGCCTGGGTGACCAGCGGAGGAGGCCGTATTGCTCTGTGTTGCCTGTGGCTTGTGCTTGCCCGCGCCGCAGCAGAACTTGAGAATGGCTTGTGCTACCATCTCATTGTGAAGTGCCCTGTTTTGCAGTCTTCCCTACCAGTTCTATGTTTATTGGCTTCCCGCAGTGATGGAGAGGGGAGAAAAAGGACCTCGTCCACCTGCAGCAACGAGTCCCTGAATGCTGGAGGAACCCCCGTGACGCCTCGCCGGATCTCCTGGCGGCAGCGCATTTTCCTCAGGGTTGCTTCGCCCGTGAACAGATCCCCTTCGGCAATGCAGCAGCAAGGTCAGTGAGGGCCTGCTCAGGATTACCGCGTGGGAGAGGCGTGCCCAGGGAAGCGAATGCAAATGCTTTATGCATAAGGAGATTGCAAGGACTGCGGTGGTGGGGAAATCACTGCTCTTGCTGTGAATGTTGCAGTGTGGCCAGGTGACATGAGGATGCTTTGACCGTTCAGCACCTGCTTGTTGAGTGACTGAATGGATGAGTTTCCCACACCTGTTTGGGAGCCTCCTCCACTAGGATAGTGCTAGAAACAAGTCATAGATCTTTTTATTGTTGGAAAAGCAGCAGTTATTTTGATGAGTCACATATAAGCAAAGTGACATAGAAATGAGATCCATATACTAGGCAGATAGCAACCCACTGAAAACCCCAGCAGCTGTCTTTGAATATTAGACCTGTTAGACATTCATGCAGAAACATACGAACACAAAGTAAATGAACAGTCAATACAAAGATAGAACAGTAAGGACAGCACGTATTATTCCATAGCTTTAAAGGTAGACAATCACACGTAGAAGAATTTTGAGGAGAAATAAGTCCAAGCTCTTGTGGGAGATACTACCATAGTCCTCTCTGAAAAGTGAGTATAAAGGAATTAAATGTGAATAATATTTGAGTAACACAATTGAAAAAAAGTTGATCTCAGGTTTTGTAGAACTTTGTAGAGAAATTAATATGTTTTTAGCACACAGATATTTTCATAATTGCCAGACAGTTAATGATTTGTGCCATATTCTCTGGTCATAGTGCAGAAGAAAGAAAGGAAAGGAGGGAAGGAGTTGAGCGGAGAAGAAAAGAAGGAATGAAGGAAGGAAAGAAACAAGGAAGGGGGAGGAGGGAGAAGGCAGAGCAAACATTTTCCATGTGCTTGGAAATAGAAAAAAACTGCTCCTAGAAACTAAAAGGAAAAATATATGATGATCAGAGCCCTGTCAAAATTGAGTGTCCTTTAGGGGGCAATTTATAGCCATGAAGGCATTCATAATGCATTCATAAGTGTTCTTTAGGGGGCAATTTATAGCCATGAATGCATTCATTTAAAACTAAGAAAGCCAGATATCAAGTGTACTAGGGATCAACGTAAGAAATTAATAAAGAAGCCGTAGAATAAAATAAAACATTAACAACAGAAAACATAGGGAAGCAGCTAGGAATAAGGGAGATCAATGCATTAAGGAAAAGTAGACAACAACTGGCATCACCAATGATAAATTTACCCTTGCCTAACATGGTCAGCATCAAGGGAAAACTAGTTACGTAAACTCATTGCTCGGAGAGGCATGTGTGAGAAGGTGGGAGAGCCAAAGTTCTAGAGCTGTTTGAAGTTTGGAGGTCAGAGAATTGCAAGAAAGTCAAAACATGGGGTATGCAGAGGATGGAGGTTGAGCCACGAGGCTGGAGAGATGACGTGAGGCCAGAGCTGGAAGGGATGCGTGTGCTGCGCCCGGCAGCCTGAGCTGTGTTCACGAGGATATCAGCTAGCACTGAAGTGTTTCGAGAGGTAGGGCCGTGTTTGTCCCTAGGATGCGCACTGGCCTGGCACAGAGGCTGAGCTCCAGGAGGTCAGGAAGAGGGTGTTGCGGGAGGAAATGGCAGAGAGCACCGGCTGCTTGGCCACGGAAGGCCCAGTGTTGCGCAGCGGCCACTCCAGGTGGATCCTGAGAGTAGATGTAGCCCAGAGCAGATGCCTACTGCCTACCCACTGAATCCTCTTGTTTTGTGTAATCAGATAACATAGATAAATTGCAGAAGTAGTGAACTCTGGGGAAAGGCCAGTTTGTTCTGTAGTCCTTGTCGTATAGGTCTTCTGTGTAGAAAGAAGAAGTGGTGAAATGACAGGCTTTTGTTTCACTACAGGAGGGAAATCTGGAAGGGGAATTCAGCCTAGTGACTTGACTTAAATCATTAGTTCCAGAAACTAAGTTACTGGGAAAGCGGCTGTGTGAAAACCTTTAAATGTGGAAGGGAAGACGAGAATGTCAGTTCTAGAGAAAACTTCTGTAGCCCGGATTACTATCAAGGAATGCCTCTCACTGTTTTCTTCTCTGCAGATGGACTGGACAGGAACGAGCTGCTGCCACTGTCTCCTCTCACTCCCACCATGGAGGAGGAACCGCTGGTGATTTTCCTGTCTGGTGAGGATGATCCAGAAAAGGCTGAAGAGAGAAAGAAGTCAAAAGAACTAAAGAGCTTGTGGAAAAAAGCTATACACCAACAAATCTTGTTGCTCCGAATGGAAAAAGAAAACCAGAAACTTGAAGGTTAGCTATTCAAGCAAGGCTGAACGATAGAAGGCTGGTAACGTGGTAATTTAAGGGTGTCGGTTACATCTGCTCCCCCTATACACACACACACACACACACACACACTCATTCTTGGACTGTATACACACTTCGACTGGAGAATCTACTGATCAAAATTGTTTATTTTCATTGTATGTGGTGATTATGACCTGGGAAAAGTCAGTTTCAGATATTTGCATTTTTGTGGAATAGAGTTGAAGCGTCAGAAGCCTTCACAGGGTATCTGGGTAAGCTAGAATGTGGATAATATAGCCTTAAATATGGAAAAAGCAAATTTTCTTTTTAAAAATATAATTTTCAACTTTCAGATGAATTATATTCATAGTAGAAGAAATATGCGTATTTCAACAACTTCTGTTTGTATTACATCTAAGCCAATGATTTGATTATAAATATTATCAAATCACAGTTCCTAATTTTGGTAATGCCTTATAAATTTTATCTTGAAAAATCATATTTGAATTATGAAATGTAAATATTTAGCACAGCTATTGTGTTATTTGTGATATTTTATAGCTAAATTTATGAATACTGAATGCTTTAGAATTGTTTTTCAGCTTTTCAAAGAATGATACAGCTTACCCCAGTACTGACAGAACTGCAGCAGAGATACCTAGAGTATCAAAATCCAAAGAAATGTATAAAAACCATAATCTTGGGCAAATCTCTTAGCCTAAAAGGGCTTTAATTTTCTTTCTATAAAATGAAAGATTTAGCTTAAGTAGGCCCTTTGACTTTTAAGATTATTGGCAAATGTGCGATATAGATTTTTCTCTTACTTGTTTTTACTGTGTTGTTTTCTAAACAATTTTTAACAAAGACATTCAGATTCTTGAATCTATCATCTACCTTCAGATATTGTTGCTATATTTATTATTCAATTCAGTTTTTAATTTTGATGGTATGTATTTAGTTTGCAAGGACACAGTTTTTTTTTTTTTTTAATTTTCTTAGCAGAATGAAAAATACATCAAATGTTAGAAACCCTAGGGAAATAAATCTTTTATTCTGTAAAATAAATAAAATATCTCAGTTAATTGTTACTGACATAGCTTTTTTTTAATTTAATTTTTTTAATTTGACAGGCAGAGTTAGTGAGAGAGAGAGAGAGAGAGACAGAGAGAAAGGTCTTCCTTTTCCGTTGGTTCATCCCCCAAATGGATGCTATGGCTGGCGCGCTGCACCGATACAAAGCTGGGAGCCAGGTGCTTCCTCCTCGTCTCCCGTGCGGGTGCAGGGCCCAAGCACTTGGGCCATCCTCCACTGCACTCCCGGGCCACAACAGAGAGCTGGATTGGAAGAGAAGCAACCAGGACAGAATCTGGCGCCCCAACCGGGACTAGAACCCGGAGTTCCAGTGCCGCAGGCAGAGGATTAGCCAAGTGAGCCATGGCACCGGCCCTAACATAGTTTTTATAAGTTCTGTTTGATAAATAGTATACTCACTTGAGATTTCAAAGATTTCAGCAGGAATTGAATTCATATTTTTTAGGCCATTGGGGACCTCTTGAATAGCTCATAAACAGAAAAAGAAATTAAAATGGCTATCATTCTTTGAAAATTTAAAGTATGAAATTATATTTTAATTGGAAGCATATACATATAAAACATTAAATATGAAAGCATACTTTTAGAATCATGAGCTATTTGGATTGGAAATGGCCTTAGAGATTATTTGGCTAGGTTCTTGTTTCTGTAGCTGAGTTGGTGACTAGCTTGGGGAGGCAAAAAATTTAACCTAAGATCAGTGACGTCACAGCAGAACAAGTCATACAGCTCAGGTTTATTCATATTAGTTCTTGGGTTTTTCCCGGTAAGCCACAGTGTTTCTCAGCTGTATGTTTTCACGTAAGGGAATGAATTTTTTAGTATGAAGACTACTTGTATATTCTGAGATCAGTTATACCACATAATTTTACATGATAAGAAAGGAAGTAACATTTAGAATATAATTCCAGAAACTCCGTCAGGTCTCTTCTTATTTCTGTACTTAAGTAACAAAGACAAAAACAGTGGTAGCCAAAGGATGACCATTTCTTGATAGTTCCTCCTTATTATCTAGTTCATCAGTTTGAAGGCACGCAGTAACTAGCCTTCTCATTTTATATCAGGGCCCACTGATGGTGCTTATAAAATTATATGTATGAGCAATGATTTAGAGAACATGGGAGAAAAAAATTTGAGAAAATATGCTTTGTTTGTTGTGAAGCGAGTCATTAGTAAAGTTCTATGTAAGATTGCATTTATTATTAATGTTAATGAACCCCACTCCTTTAAAAAGAATTCTTTGGGTACTGTAGGAAAGTGATGAAGCGAATCTTGAGGCACAAAGGTGAACTGTGTTAGAAAGCCATCTAGTGGTATCCAAGAGGAAGGTTTTTTTTGTTTTGTTTTTTTTTTTTTTTTTTTTTTTTTTGACAGGCAGAGTGGACAGTGAGAGAGAGAGAGGTCTTCCTTTGCCGTTGGTTCACCCTCCAATGGCCGCCGCGGCCAGCGCGCTGCGGCCGGCGCACCGCGCTGATCCGATGGCAGGAGCCAGGAGCCAGGTGCTTTTCCTGGTCTCCCATGGGGTGCAGGGCCCAAGCACCTGGGCCATCCTCCACTGCACTCCCGGGCCACAGCAGAGAGCTGGCCTGGAAGAGGGGCAATCGGGACAGAATCCGGCGCCCAAACCGGGACTAGAACCCGGTGTGCCGACGCCGCTAGGCGGAGGATTAGCCTAGTGAGCCGCGGCACCGGCCCCCAAGAGGAAGGTTTTTGCCGCATGATTTATCTTTTGATTATATCCAGAGTATTAAGTAGGAATTGTTACTGCCTTGCTTGAACAGCAGTCTAAGATATTTTAATTCTTCTGAAATGATTTCACAAACACTGAGTAAGCATAATATTCATTCCGCTGTTGCTTTTGTGCTGTCGAGGACTTCGGCTGTATGACAGAGATTTGTGTTGCAGAAGGTAAGGAGGTTGGGTGAGCACTGTGAGCTGTCCAGCCTGACCCTGATGAGAGAAGTGGGCTCCCCAGCTTCTTCTGCCTTTCGTTTTCACAGTCAGTTATTTAAGATAAAGGCACGTCATGATTGTGATTGCTTTCATAGGCACTTCTTTCAATGAGCACTGTGCCTATGTTTTAGACCATTAAATGAACATAATTCTATATGATGTCAACAATGGTATTAGTGTTAACTGCGATGGATTTTTGTTTTTAAGATGATTAAAAATAAACATGGAACATATAGTGTGTTAAGGGCAATGGATGACTGAAATAGTTATGAAATGGCTGAGGTTATTGTCAAACATACTACAAATTAAGGCCCTCACAAGGCAGTGTCATTGTCATCTTCTTTTTTTGTAGGATTTATTTATTTATTTGAAGTCAGAGTTACAGAGAGAGAGAGAGAGAGAGAGAGAGAGAGGAGAAACACACAGAGAGAGGGATCTTTCATCCACTGGTTCACTCCCCAAATGGCCGCAACGGCTGGGGCTGGGCCAGGCCAAAGCCAGGAGCCAGGAGCTTCTTCAGGTCTCCCACATGGGAGCAGGAGCCCAAGTACTTGGGCCGTCTTCTGCTGCCTTCCCCGGCACATTAGCAGGGAGCTGGAATCAGAAGCAGAGCAGCTGGCCCTTGAACCAGCACCCATATGGGATGCCAGCACTGCTGACGGCGCCACAGCGCTGGTCCTGGCATTGTCTTCTTATATATGTCATATATGGAATAGTAACATTTTGGGAATAGTAACATTTTAGCCTACTGGTTGGTTGAGGCGGCAACATCCCATGTTGGAATCTCATGTTGGAATGCCTCGATTTAAGTCCCAGCTCTGCTCCCAATTCTAGATTTCTGCCAGTGCACCCAAGGAGAGATTGCAAATGATAGCTCTAGTACTTGTGTCCCTGATACCCATGTGGGAGACCTGGTACAGTTTTACAAACACAACAACATTAAAAATACTGAGTTTAAAAGCACATTGGTCTTATGTGACTCTTCATTCTGTTCCTGTCTCTGTCTGTTGCTTAGCACGAAGAGATGAGCTTCAGTCCAGAAAAGTTAAACTGGACTATGAAGAAGTTGGTGTATATCAGAAGGACGTCTTAATAACCTGGGATAAGAAGCTGTTAAACTGCAGAGCAAAAATCAGGAGTGATATGGAAGACATTCATACTTCTCTTAAAGAAGGTATGTGGGATCATTTCAGTGATTCGTTTAGAAGAAAAGCTTCAGACTTGTTTTGTTTTGTTTTTGCAGCTCAGACGTAATTTTATCTGTGTGCTTTGCTTGTTAAGTGTGGAGACTTGATTGACCAGACACTGGTGCTAATGGAGATACCCTTGAGGAGACCAGAGGCACCTAGAGGTTCTCCAGACCCATTCCACCTGCTGATTTCAGCTCCCTGTGGGTGGTTACTAAGGAGGAAATGAAGCCATTGGTATCAGTCTGATCATTGCCATATACATACTTCAGACCTAGAAACTTGACTCACTTCCATGGTTTGGTCAGAAGTGTTTATTTAAATATATATTTACATATTTGTATTTATGTATGTATATATATATATATATATAACCACAAGTATGTTTTTATATACACAGATTTATATTATGACTAATGAGCCAATTAATCAAATTTTCTTCCATCCATTCATTCTTTCATCTATTTAGGAGAAATTAGTTTTATTTAGCCATTGTATTGTGTTTATTATTTTCTTGTTGCTCTGCTATATTAGATGCCTGGTGTTTTAACTTTAAAATTAAAATGAATGTTTAAGTACTTTAGGAGCAGTTTTGTGACTCAGATTAAATTTACTAAAACAAGAGTCTCCAGGGCTTACATAAACTGAGCATAAAATAAAAATTCCAAAATACTCAAATCTGATAAGTCATGTTTTAAAAGCTTATGATAACATGTGACACTATTGCATCATTATGTTTAGATTAAGCTTTGTTTTGTTAAGATGCCACTTTCACAGTCCTTTTCTTTTTCCGTGGAGACTTTGAAATCCTAAAGGTTTTCAGTGAATTTTGGAGACAAAAGTGTGGTGAACAGGTTGTATGTGAGCTGCAGATCAAACCATTCTTTGGGATGACTTCTGAAGACGTTTCAGGTTAAACCTCACAGCTGCATGCCCCAGGCCCCCATAGCCTGTCCTTCTTCCCTGTCTCTGATCTCATTTTCTGCTGATTCCTCCCTCATATTATATACTCCAGACATGCTGAGCTGCATTGGCTGTCAGTTTGTCCCAGCTGTTTCCAGTGTGTGGAGTGTTCAGCCCTCCCCACACACCTTCCTCCCCTCTATATCTTCTCCCTATTTCCCATCTGCATTTCTTCCACCCTCTTCTTCCAGTTCCTCCTTTCTCCTCTATTCTTCTGCCCAATCTGGGTGTCTTGTGTTGCTGTGCCTGCCGTGGCTGCTGCACACACTCCCTGCCTGGAGAGTGCTGTGCGCTCTCAGGTGCTCCAGCGCCACTTCCTCAGAGCTCCAGGCTCAGTCCTCAGCCGAAATAAATTCATTATGCTTGATTATTCTTTCTCACACTTATTGTGCTTGGCATAATTTGTAATTTTACAATTAAGTGTAATTTTAAAATTAAGTGTATATTTATTTAATATTTTTCTCACCCCCACCACTACACACATAGCACCTAAGACAGTATTTTGCCTAAGTTGTTTATTGAAAGAATGAATGAATGAATGAATGAGACTAATTTTCCTGGGATGAATTTATTCACCTCTCAGTGAGGACATACCCTGAGTGCTGTGCTTTCTACCCCGTGACCTACTGGATGTTCAAGAAATGTTTGTTTAAGTGAAGTGAGCAGTGGAATTAGCTGTTTGTAGATGTGTTATTGGGTAGATAATAAAATAGACCTCTCATGTCATCAGTGTTTCATTTAATGCACTAATAAAAGTTACCTTCTCTAAAAATGACATTTTTACATGCTGTCACTCATTTATTCAACGGATGGCTAATTAGCAGGCTGTACTCTTGGGTTTTGTCTGACAGACATGAAAGTGTGCTTACTGTGCTACAATAGCTCACTGTCTGTGTGGAGGAAAACAGACAAACCGGTAGAGCCAGCTGTAATATGAGGTGCAGTGGTACAGTAAGAATCAAACCGCATGTGAAATGGGAGTGATTACTCCTTATGACGTTAGGGACAACTACAACAGGAAAAGTCAAAGATGATGTTCACGTTCATCTATCCACGATGAAGAGAAATGCACTATACAATCAAGTGTGAGAGCTTGTAATTCTATAGAGGCAACAGTAGGAACAAGAAACTGGAGGAGCGAAACTAAGCACAAACTCCAAGTGTATGACGGGGAATGGGAGGTCATGGGGCTAAAGGTAGTTTGGAGCTATAATGTGGAGGGCCCCATGCATCGTTTTAGCAGGTCTCACCTTTTAGACAATAATGCTTTCAGCTTGTGCAAACTGGCATTGCCGTTCAAAGAGATTACTGGCAGTAACCTTTCCTTAACCAGCTGGAGCCAATTCCAGATCCAGTATCTCTGTATGAACTTGGGCAGATTGTTCAAGGCCTTTCTCCCTTAGCTTTGCCATCTGTATAGCGGGCATAACAGTAATTACCTACCTCATACAGTTGTTCTTTGAGCACATGTAGAAAGCTCCCCCCATAGCTAGGTGCCCTCCATGAGTGTTTTATTTGATGCTCATCCAGTGTTAGCTGAGTATAATATCTCTTATCTTTCTTGTCCTTTTTTTTGACAGGCAGAGTTAGACAGTGAGAGAGAGAGAGAGAAAGGTCTTCCTTTTTCCATTGGTTCACACCATAAGTGGCTGTGTTGTGGCTGGCGCGTTGCACTGATCCAAAGCCAGGAGCCAAGTGCTTTCTCCTGGTCTCCCATGCAGGTGCAGGGCCCAAGGACCTGGGCCATCCTCCACTGCCTTCCTGGGCCACAGCAGAAAGCTGGACTGGAAGAGGAGCAACCGGGTCAGAATCCGGTGCCCCAACCGGGACTAGAACCCAGGGTGCCGGTGCCGCAGGCAAAGGATTAGCCTATTGAGCTGCGGCACCGGCCAGCTGATGTTATTCTTAATAGCGCCATTATTTTTATTGATATTTATGGTTTTCTTTCACAAGATGTTAGGATCTTTAGGATCAAACTTGTGGAAATGTGGTTTGGTCAATACGTTGTGATCCCAGGGTGATGTGCTGTGCAGTCCTGCTGCCTGTGTTCAAGAATTCTGTCATCAGCTGCAATTGAACAACTTCATTTCAGAGTTCAAGGCCATGCTTCTTTGTCTCTTTGGTTATAGGTGTTCCCAAGAGTCGCCGAGGAGAGATTTGGCAATTCCTAGCTTTGCAATACCGTCTCAGACATAGATTGCCCAACAAACAGCAGCCTCCAGACACATCCTATAAGGAACTCTTAAAGCAGCTCACTGCTCAACAGCACGCAATTCTTGTGGATTTAGGTATGTTTGTCCTACTAATTGTCATTGAGCAAGGGAAGCTCTAGGTCTTCTGGTTGCGTTTTTGGGGATTGATAAAGAGGAGCTGCTGGCGTATGTAGAGCTGTGGGCCTGCCATCCTTGTTCTTTGCTGAGGGCAAAGCTGGCTTTGTGTCTGATAGGATACCATGAATACCTGCGTGTAAAATGATGCTTTCTTTTGCCCCCAAACTTTGCCTCGCGAAAGGAAGTCACCATATATTGAAATCTTTAGAAAGGTCATATTCTGGGTTGCTCTCAGTTACTATATTTTGAAAAACTGACTTTTGTTTGGGATAGACAGTCACATCTTAAGCAGTTTAAAAATTGGTTTAAAAAGAGACCCAGCAGTTTAGCAAAGGTGTACTAAGCATTCCTGGGCATAGTACTGGAATCAGGCCTTTAGTGTCATTTTCAACACAATGCGCTAAGTGGTTATGTTGTAGAAATCCTGAATATCTACCTGAAAAATCAGCTTCCGAATGTAAGAGTGACACTTTGATTTTATTTATTTTAACTTTTTAAAACTTTTCTGAATTTATTTCTTTTTGTAATTTTTTAAAATTTTGACTAATTTTTTTTATTTGAGAGAGAGACAGAGATAGTGACACAGAGAGATACAGACAGACAGAGCTCCCATCCACTGGTTCATTCCCCCTAATGCCTGCAAAGGCCAAGACTGGACCAAGTTGAAACTGGGAGCCAACCAGGTCTTCCACGTAAGTGGAAGGAACCCGAGTACTCAGACCAACACTGCTGCCTCCCAGGGTCTACAAGCCAGGGTCTGGAAGCTGGGGTCAAGAGTGGGATCTGTGTGTGGAACCCAGGCACTGCAGTATGGGACACAGGTACCTTAAGTGCTAGGCCAAATGCCCAGCTCTAGTGACAGCTTTGAAATGATGAATATCAACTAACTGTGGAAGGTGAAAATGGTATGATTTAAAAAGCTGTATTTCTAGTTATTTGAATTAATATTAAAATATATTATGATTTTAAAATAAAAATAGGTTGAAATATTCATCTGAAAAATGCAGTTCAATGGAGAAATTGAACAAGGTGGTCCCTAGGGCCTCCTGCAGAGGTTGGGTTCTGGGACCATAAATCAGTGATGAGAGTTAGGACTGAGGTGGTACAAACAGGGTTAGTCAAAATGTCCTGATAAGTAGGGTGAGAGCTCACATATAGCAGAGGCTGGGCAGATGAAATGGAGTTAGAACCATTTATAGTTTTCTTTAGCAAAAACTTTGAAGTGAGAAAGCAAAATGATAAATTTAAAAATTGCTTATTTGACTCTACTTGTGGCCATCTGTGTTTCTTCAGCATGTGCTGGTTTTCTGCTATCTTCCCCTTACTCTGCAGACTTAATTGTATCAGTTCCTGGGGAAAAAGTCACTTTTAAGTGTATGTGGTGGAAAGCATTTTAAAATCTGGCATTCTTGTAAGTTCCAACTGCCTTGAGTAATCACTTCACAAAGAAGCTAACATCCCCCTTCATTTTTCTGACACAAGGAAAGTCCCAAACCAGCACTTACAGCTTTGGGGGTTACAATGGTTTTTATTTTGGTTTTCAGTCTTTAATACCAGCTTTTTAGTGATCCAGGAGCCAGAAACTCAGTCTGGGTCTCCCACATGGGAGGCACTTCTGATTCTAGCTTCTTGCTAAGGGGCATCCTGGAAAGCAGCTGGTAAGGACTCAAGCACTTGGGTCCTTGCCACCCATGTGGGACATCCGGATGGGATACCAAGCTTCTGGGTTTGGCCTAGCCCCGCCTTGGCTGCTGCAGATAGAATCTCTCTGTGTTTCTTTGTCTCTGTTGCTCTGCCGGTTTTATTTTTTAAGATTTTATTTATTTATTTATTTGAAAGGCAGAGTTACAAAGAGAGATAGAAGGAGAGAGAGAGAGAGGTCTTCCATTCACTAGTTCACTTCCCATATGGCCCCAACAGCCGGGATGGAACCAGGAGCTTCTTCTGTGTCTCTCATGTGCATGCAGGTACCCAGGGACTGGCACCATCCCCCACTGCTTTCCCAGGTGCATTAACAAGGAGCAACTTAGGAAGCGGAGCAGCCAGGACTTGAACTGGTACCCATATGGGATGCCAGCACTGCAGGTAGTGGCTTAACCTGCTGTGCCACAGGGCTGATCCCTGCTCTGCCTTTAAAGTAGCTAGCTACATGAGTTTTTAAAAAGGTTCTTCCAGTGTCATAATAACAGCAGGAATGAATCTGTTTATGGGCTACTGAGATTTCTTTTTAAATAATTATGGAATTCTGGTTTTAGCTAGAAACTGCACTTTACATGAATTTAGAATTTGCCTTGAGTCATAGTCTCCTGCTGTCTCTCATGGACATGCCACTAGTTTGGGAGTTCTTGTATTTGGTTTGTTTGTTTTAGTTTTGGCTAGGAAGAAGTGCTGGCCAGCATGAAATGTTTAGTCCCATAGCATATGAGGGCACTTCAAAAAATTGTGGGGAAATTGACATTTTGAGATTCATTGATTGTTTATAGCCCTTGTCTCTGCTATTGAGGAATAGTGGTTTTTTTCCCCTCATACAATTTGTTGTACTCTTTACATATTGTAGAGTTAATCTTATGAGTATAAAGGAAACTGAAAATAGATTTTTGTAAAAATCAAGAGTGGGAATAGGAGAGAAAGGAAGAAGGGTGGAGGATGTAGGCGGGAGGGAGAGTAGGGTGGCAAGAATCACCAGGTTCCTAAATTTGATGTATAAAATGCATAAAGTTTGTATACCTAATATAAAATTTAAAAAAACCATGGTGAGATGGAATAAAAAGATAAATGTATTTAGGGGCAAAAGCATTTTGAAACTCATGAATAGTTTTTTCTTGGTAACACGTTTCATGTACTTTTTGAAGACCCTTCACCTTGGAGTGTGTGGAAATGGGTTCTGGCAGCTAGGGCTAGGGACCTGCAGGAGGGACAGTCAGTAGCCCTTGCTGGTTTGGGAAAGAATGTGTTCATTCATTGCTGCAGGTCACTGATCTCACTCTGGCCTCCAAAGCATCTAAAAATCATCTCAAAGGTGTTCTTCTTCTCCTCTGTAGGTAGGACGTTTCCTACTCACCCTTACTTTTCAGTACAGCTCGGGGCAGGGCAGCTGTCACTCTTCAACCTCCTGAAAGCCTATTCTTTGCTGGACAAGGAAGTGGGCTACTGCCAGGGGATCAGCTTCGTGGCTGGAGTCCTGCTTCTGCACATGAGTGAGGAGCAAGCCTTTGAAATGCTCAAGTTCCTCATGTACGACCTTGGCTTCCGCAAGCAGTACAGACCCGACATGATGTCGCTGCAGGTAAGGCAGAGGTTCTACCTGAGCAGCACCAAGGCTGTTCTAGAACTCCTCTAAATGACAGTTGAGAGAGAAGGGAATTTGGACCCTTTGTCTCGGAATGTGGGCACGTGGTTTTAGTTGACTGTTTTAGTATGGCTGAACATTTGTCTACTTAGGAGATTTTATGGAGTTGTTCACCAGGATGTGTCTTTATAGTGATTTGATGTCTACTTGATAACTGCTCGGAGATCTGTTTAACAAGTCAAATAATGACTATGGAATATTTTATTTTTTTTTACATGATTTCTAAACAGTGCACTTACATCTTTTATAGTGTATAGAAAGCACTGGTACCTTTGTATGTTTTTAGTGGTAAGAAAATCGGAAAGTTTAATGAAGAGAAACACACCTGCTCTACCTGGCGGGCATCTTAGGAAACAGCTGAGCAATCAATTTACATTCAGACTGGAGTTTGTGTGGATGTGGGTATGGGCCCCTTGCGGGAATATTGCTGGGTAGAGGGACTTCCTGGGCGTGGAATTCCTGAAATTCCTCCCAGAACTTCATCAGTGCTAGGCAGGGAAGGTTTCTCTGAGCTGTCCCAGGGAGAGGGCTGGAACTCAACAAACAAGGTTATTGAACAAGAACAAAACTTCTGATGTGCACATGCTGGTCTGCTCTCAAGGCTGGCTTCTACATTTTTTTCTCATTCAACTACACCAAAATTCCCATTTTCTTCATCCCATCTTACACACACAGTCTACTGTCTACCTTGCTAGCAAACATTACCCCCTCTAGAGAAGTAACCCATAATCTTCTGGTGATAGAATGAGTGTATCTTCTTTAAGCTGGCATGTGGCATAGAGCTGGTTATGGGTATTCTCTCTTGCTGTCTGTCCTTTGGTGAGAAAGCACTGGTCCCTTTGTAAGGAATCAAATAGCTCTGATATTTTCAGAATGAACAGTTCAGTAACTACCATTAGAATTTCAAAGAAGTGAAAGTATCTGAGTTGTATGTTTGATTTTAGCCCATAGAGAGAAAGATACAGCTATCACTTTAAAAAATGCAATGAATTGTTTTCATTTAAAAGTTCCTCATCAATCTGACTTTATAAAAATTCATGTAAACTGGATGTGTTACCTTAATGTGGTCTGCAATTACCTAGGAATATTTTCTGTTTGTAATTTTGAAAGTGCAGGTATTTAAAAATCCCTGATGGCAATATTCTTGTAGGCCACATTATTGGGAGCCTTATCCTTCAGAGTAGACTTTTGTGTACTATACAATGAGATATAACACTTGTTCACTTTCCAGAGCAGGAAGTTAGTGTTTCTTATTTGATCAGTAAGACTTTTAAAAATATCCACAAATGCCTATTGCAGCCTGCTTGGACTACTTGGTAGGATTTCTGATTTCTTTTTTCTTATAAGGTTTATTTTATTTATTTGAAGGTCAGACTTACACACAGAGAGAAGGAGAGTCAGAGAGAGAGAGAGAGAAAGAGAGAGAGAGGGAGGGAGAGAGGGAGAGGTATTCCATCTGCTGGTTCACTCCCCAATTGGCCGTAACGGCCGGAGCTGCACCGATCCGCAGCCAGGAGCCAAGAGCTTGCTCCAGGTCTCTAACATGGGTGCAGGGGCCCAAGGGCTTGGGTCATCTTCTACTGCTTTCCCAGGCCATAGCAGAGAGTTTGATTGGAAGTGGAGCAGCTGGGACTTGAACCCACAGCCATATGGGATGCTGGCACTGCAGGTGGCGGCTTTACCCTCTATTCCACAGCGCCAGCCCCAGGATTTCTGACTTCTTGCTTCATTGTTGGTGAACTTGGCCACTCCTGGCTCTTGACTTTGGTTATCTGATCTGTGAAATGAGGGGGTTCAGGTTTCTTTGACCTTTAAACATCTATCTCATAGTGTCCATTGTTTTCTGTATTCTGAAAGCATTCTCTGTTTTTCTCCAAAGTCTCTGTTTCCACTTTTCTGTCTTCTCTCTCTCACCCTTCTCTTCTCTGTTTGCATTTGTCAACCTCCGGTTCTGCCTCTTCCGTCTGAGTGTTTGCCATGTTACCTGGAAGGCACATGAGGAAATAATTGTTCCTAACAAGTAGGATTTTGTTATTAGAACTTTCTGTGAAGGAATTCTGAATTGCATTTTTATTTGCCCAAATACACATTGCCAACCCCTAGTTTAGAATGTGTGTGTGTCTGTAGGGGAAGAAATGTAAGGTCCTTTTATAAAACATCACTATATTGATTCTTTGTCACCATTACAATGTTAATATAGAAGGAACAGAATGCTTTTGATGACACATTTTTTTATTCTGCTCATTTGACTTCTTTAACTTTTATGCTTACCAAAATACAAATTCTTCAGTGATGCCTGTTATGTTATTTCCGAAGTGTGGAAGGCCCAAGAGAAATGCATGATTTTTTTTTCACGTGACTTATTGAGATAATAATCCCATAAAAAAACCTATATGTATGACTCCAGTTAAACTTCTTTTTATAGCTATGACTTCTGTGGCTTTTTAATTCTTTTCTTTTACAGTTTGTATGGAAGCTTAGGTTCCAAAGATATGGATTGCAGATGAGGATCAAAGAGTTGGCTGTATTTGTAATTTTATATACTTTATGATTTTTTTTCCCAAAGGATTTGCTTGATTTCAATTCTGGGCTTTGGAAGCAACTGTTGAACTCATGATATAATGAATTATTTTAATGTACTTTCATAGAACTAACTATTTAAGGGTGATATTTTACCTAGACTTCTAATGAAAGTGGTTACACTAGGTTTAAAAAAAATGCTATTCATTTGATAGCACAGCATTAAGCTGATAACACTGATCAGGTCACCAGCAGTCATCTGTTAACTGTTAAGCGTATTCATTTTAAATTAAAGCACAGTTCTCAAATCACTTTATTATTTATTACTGTTTCACCTTTGCTGTCACAGACATAAGAGTTTAAAAGTATTTGCATGAGGTTTTTATAATATAAAGTAATGCCAATAATCAACTCAGTAGCCAAACAGAATGATTTCTTTTAATTCGTGAAACATTCAGAATTGACTGCCTGCTTTACTTTATTCCCCTTCATCATAAATATACTGCTGAAGGGGGCCGGCGCTGTGGCACAGTAGACTGATCCTCCACCTGCAGCGCTGGCATTCTGTATAGGCGCCAGTCCTCGTCCCAGCTGCTAGTCTTCCGATCCAGCTCTCTGCTATGGCCTGGGAAAGAAGTAGATGATGGCCCAAGTCCTTGGGACCCTGCACCTGCAAGGGAGACCCGGAAGAAGCTCCTGGCTCCTGGTTTCAGATTGGCTCAGCTCCAGCTGTTGTGGCCATTTGGGGAGTGAAGCAGCAGATGAAAGTCCTTTCTCTCTCTCTCTCCTTCCCACTGTCTGTAACTCTACCTCTCAAATAAATAATAAATACAATTTTTAAAAAATATATACTGCTGGAATAAATTGGAAACCAGAAGTGACGTCTCTGGCTTCTGGCCCCATTGCATTCTTGGCCTCCATTCTCTTAGAGCAGTGCACTTTGTCTGTGGGTCAAAGCCAAAACTTGGCTGTAAACCAATGCTGGACCCAGTAGAAGGAGACAGGCTTTGCTTCTGCACCAGACATAGTAGATTCTTTGGTAAGGAGATACTCTCCAGCATTGATCTGAGATTAGAAGGGACCTTCTATGGAAGTTGTAAGTCAGGGCAGTTCTGATTAGATTTCAAAGCCATGCTTTCCTACAAGAGAAAAAAGACCATGTCCATGTATGCATGACACACCCATATACATGTGATAGAAGAACTCAGTCATCTTAGATGGTCTTTCAGTGACTTGCTCTATCACTTCAGTTAAGTGAACTTGAATGTTAATGTCAGCTTTAAAATAATAATCAATATTGATTTTGTTAACTGAATGTTGTGAAATGTTATTAAATGTGAGAGTAATACAACTCATTAGTGTATTTTATGCATACTCAGATAAATGGGTAATATCTTATTTTTCTTCTCCAAATTAACTTCAGATTCAAATGTACCAGCTGTCCAGGCTCCTTCATGACTATCACAGAGATCTCTACAATCATCTGGAAGAGAACGAGATCAGCCCCAGTCTCTATGCTGCACCCTGGTTCCTCACACTGTTTGCCTCTCAGTTTCCTTTAGGATTTGTAGCCAGAGTCTTTGGTAAGAGATGCCTATGATCAAATAGAACTGAGCTGTTTATTCCAAGGAATATACGTCTGGCCATAGGGTACCCCATTATTTTTTCATATGTTACATAGAAGAGCAAATTGCTAGTGGAATTTAATAAATATCCCTGGTGCTATTCCAGTAGTAATTTGAAATACTGTTGGTCTTAAGTAAAATAGAAATGAAATGCAGAGAGTAATTGGTCTTCTGTATTTGAACAAGCTGTAATGGAACATTGATTTTTATTTATGCCTAAAGATCATAGTATACTTTTTAAAGAGAATCTCAAATAAGAACATAATTTGGGCTTGCGCTGTGGCTCACTTGGCTAATCCTTCGCCTGCGGCGCCGGCACCCTGGGTTCTAGTCCCGGTTGGGGCACTGGATTCTGTCCCGGTTGCTCCTCTTCCAGTCCAGCTCTCTGCTGTGGTCCGGGAGTGCAGTGGAGGATGGCCCAGGTCCTTGGGCCCTGCACCTGCATGGGAGACCAGGAGGAAGCACCTGGCTCCTGGCTTCAGATCAGCACAGTGTGCCAGCTGCAATGCGCCAACCGTAGCAGCCACTTGCGGGGTGAACCAACGGAAAAAGGAAGACCTTTCTCTCTGTCTCTCTCTCTCTCTCTCACCTTCTAACTCTACCTGTCAAAAAAAAAAAAAACATAATTTGTTTAGTTTTCCAAATTTTTATATACATCTTTCCTACCTCTAGGTTTTAGTTGGTTGGTTTTTTTTCCTATTGTCTTCTTCAACCTGGATTCAAAACATAGACAAACATATTATCTGACTAGGGCAATGGAAGTACTAATGTCACTGTTACTTCTTATGGCATGCCTTAATTTAAGTGTTTGTTGTTAACAGGGTAGCTATAATTCCTGTTTTGTTGCTTGAATAACTCTTCCCTCATTCCACTACTATGATGTAGCCAATCTGTAAGACTGAGTGACTAGGGGAAGCATACTAACTATGGGCGATAGAATCCAGAGCAGGTTTTGGGACACTTGTCTTGTTCCAATCATAGTATTGGACACTGGGAATAAAAGGAGCATGTGACATGGTTTTTAGCTCCATCTGGGGGCCTGTTTATCTGTTCATAAGTTCTAGGTTAGGTTTGTCTGTTATTTTAAAAGCAAAAAAAAGTAATTTGTTCTAAGAATGTTGCTTATGGCCTCTGTAACCTCAGAAAGGGTTGCCACATTTTCTCTGTTCTGTGTATCTCTCTGGTAGCCCTGGTCAGCTGTGCTTTTGATAAACTGGAGCTTTCTGTCTAATTGTGAGTATTGGCCCAATTATAGGTCATTACCACTGTTTGAAAAATTGGAATATAATAGGAATACGATGAAAATAGCAGGGAGTGGTACAAATAGTAAGGAAAAATGCTGTTTGGAGAAACCAATTTTGAAGATGTGTATATTATGTGTTTACACTCCAGTTTACCATGCTTTCCTATTGAGAGCAAAATCCCACCCATTGATCCTCATAGGAATCTGCAGAGCCAAGCAATTCTATCATTAATTTTAGAGGAGCAATGATATTTGGCTTCAAAACTCTAGAAACAATCTCTAACTGCTTAGCAGTCAAAAAGATATTGTGGAAGAATTAATAAACAAAGTAAATGTATAAATAAAAACTTTTCATCTTACAGAGCATTTTAACAAATAAAACTGCTTATAAATATTTACAGAATAATCTGCCTGTGATTTAGATTCCATGTAGGAAAGAGGAAGTTTTCTGTAATAGACACTGCATTAGCAGGAATACAGTCTGTAGACAAAGTGCAGTGAAGGTAAAATCAAGATGCCCTGAATCACATGTTCACCAGATTTCCCTTGTTTGGTGAATACACACAATTGCCTTTCCCCAGTGACATTTTCCCTGCATTGTAGGTTCCTCTTACTGGGTCTTCTATAAGACCCATATGTATGTATGTATGTGTATATATATCCCAATGATGCCTCAGGGGCATTTCTCTGGCTTGCCCTTGGAAACTTGATATCAGAGTTTATGAGATGAATGTTCCTAGTACTGTGTTTTTCCCATGAGAATATAAACGATGCTGTCCACTCTGTAGTAGCTACTCAATGCTTTTGTGGGGAGCAACTGGGAGCAACTCAGACTAGACTAAGTTACTGGAATTAAGACTTATTCTATGCATCTGCTCTCCCACAATATGGCGCTGGGAGAGGAGGAAACAGCTTCTACACAGCTGCCTCCAGTTCAACCAATAAACTGTAGGACCTGCTCCTGATTGGAGGAGAGCAGTGTACTCGGCGTGTGGGTAGCAGAGTTGGGATTGGTGGAAGAGGACTATAAAGGAGGAGAGAGACTACATGCACCAGGAACATCTAAGAGGAACACCTGTGCAGCCCCCGAGAGAGCCGGCCGGCGGTGTGCCGCTCCCCCGTGGAAGTGGGGAAAGTGGCAGGGGGCCCGCCCCTCCACGGAGGTGGAGGGACGGTAGCCAACCCGGGAAGAACCAGCAGCAAACCCGGGGAGGGCCGAGCAGACAAAAGAACAGCGCAGGGTTTAGTGTCGTTCCTCCGCGAAGAGGGGGAGCGACAGCTTTTGTTTGAATATAGTAAATAACAGATGCTGTGTGGCTGATGTGGCAGTGCAGCAGATTAAGCCACCTCCTATGCCACCAGCATCCCATCTGAGTCCTGGCTGCTCCACTTCCTGTCCGACTTCCTGCTAATGAGCCCAGCAAAGTGGCAGAAGATAGCCCAAGTACTTGGACCCCTACCACCCACTTGGGAGACTCAGATGGAGTTCTAGGCTCTTGATTTAGGCCTGGTCTAGCCCTGGCCATTGAGACCATTTGGAGAATGAACTCTCTCTTTGTCTTTGTCTCTGTCTCTCTCTTCCTCTCTAATTCTGCCTTTCAAATAAATAAAAATACATTTTATAAAAGAATAATAAATACAGCTAGGAAGATGAAAATGCCTGATTCAGAAGAACTACCATGTTGGAAACAATTCTTTTTATCTCTTTTTTTTTTTTCAAGATTTATGTATTTATTTCTTTGAAAGTCAGAGTTCAGGGAGCTTGATTGGAAGTGGAGCAGCTGGAACTTGAACCAGCATCCATATGGGGTGCTGGGCATTACAGGTGGCACATTTACCCACTATACTACAGAGCTAGCCCCAGAAACAATTCTCTTACAATTTCCTCTATTTCAAGACAGCTCTGCTGTATATTATTGACTAAGAGAAACTTTAATACACAGATTTTGATACTTTTCAAAACTATTGCATGCTTCCATTTGTGAGAAAGCAGAGTTCAGGGTTTAGGTTTATATATATATATATATATATATTTATATATATTTGTTATTTGATTTTATGTATATTTGTTATTTGACTTATCTTTTAGAGTCTTTTTTTAAAGTGTCCTACTCTCATATACATTTAGTTGCATATTAACTGATTTAGTGACTTTTTTATTTATTATGGTAGTGAGAGTTTGAATGGTTCAAATTGGTTATGTTGATTTGTTTTGTGTTCCTGTTGGGAAGAAAAGCTAAATATTAGCAGAATAAGTGTCTTTGAAGTTTACCTGGACTCCATTAAATTCACCATGAAAGGTCATAAGTAATCTACAGATAAACAAATATATAAATTTTCCTTTGTTTCCCTGATTGTATCTGAGGTTCTTAATAGGTAAGAGGAAATTCAAATACCTGTTTTTGTTTCAGTCATAAAGGTTTTTTTAAAAAGCTGAGTGGATTTGATCAATTTTCCTTTTGCAAATATTCTGTGATCCTGCAATAATTAAAAAACAACAAGCTTTAGCACAAAGAACATGCATTTTATCATGAATCCATAATTTTGATCATGAACATTTTATTTTTTCTTTTAGATATAATTTTTCTTCAGGGGACTGAAGTTATATTTAAAGTTGCACTCAGTCTGCTAAGCAGCCAGGAGTCACTTATAATGGAATGTGAAAACTTTGAGAATATTGTTGAGTTCCTTAAAAACACTCTCCCTGATATGAATACCTCTGAGATGGAAAAAATTATTACCCAGGTATGGTCTCAATGCTAAGAGTAAAATTTTATATATAGTGGCTTCTATAATGCTTGTACATTGAAAGCTTTAGCATAAAATGTTATTAATGCTTGACAGGCATTTTTTTTGTACTTTGATCAGGTACATTTTACTTAGAAATGAGACTTGTTGTGAAATTTGTATACTCTGATGTTGTCGACTTGGTTGCGCACAGAAAATGTGGTTGAGTGCCACATGATGAGGCTTTCAGGAATCCTTCCCTAATGGAGTCAGGAAGACCTGAGGATACAATGAGGTCCACTTACTTTTGTGATATTGTTAATTCTGTTGTGAACTGTACAAGGAGGTCAGGAGGCCAGAGCACAGGCTTTGCAGTGAGAAAGTACTGAGTTTGCCTCTTCTTTTATTAATCATTTTGCGTGCACACATCACCTCATTTTCTCAGCTCCAAAATGGGGAAATGGTGAGCTGAGTCTCTGCAGGAAGCCGAGCTCTCTCGAATGTTTCCATTGCAGGAGCCATTTACAGAGAGGTGGACACTCAATATGGACGTCCAGATGTTTATGAACTGCTGGCTATCCCTGGTGCTGCTGGGGAAGTGAGAGATACAATAGGCTTACCAGGCGGGAGGAGAGCCAGAACTACAGATGAGCGGCCTCTGGCAGTTGTGTTCTTAGGGAGCTTAGCAGGGAAAGGAAAGGGAACAAATGACTCTCCTGCACCCTTCCGATCTGCTGGCGCCTCCTGTTGGCCAAACCCGGCAGAGCCAGGCAGAAAGGGAGTGTGGGGGGCATGCAGCTCAAAGGGGACTGCCTCCCAGGGTGCAGAAGGGTGGATGAGGGCAGAGAATAGATGTGGTTAGCAATGGAAAATAATCTGCACACCATCTAACCAGTCCCTGGCTCATCACAGGCACTAGGTGAGTAGTAGCTGTATTTGATGATGTTCAGAAGAAATGAACACACTTAAGACCTGATTTGTAGATACAACGGCCATGCTTTATGAGCATTGGTAAAGTTTCCCACTTTCCTGGAGGCTCTTGGAATAGCCAAAGGGAGACAGAACTGAGAGAAGAGAAAAGGAGTTTGAAGTCTTGTTTGGGTGCCTGCCACCTACTACTGCCACCACACTACTGTGTGATTGTGGGCAGGTTACAACCTTGTTGAGTCTCAACTTCCTCTCCTACAAAATGGAAATAACAGTATGATCCCGTTATATTTTCATATTATTTTTATGAGTTAGTAGAACCAGTTAGTTAAGGTATTTGTACACTCTAATTCATACTATCCTAGGAACTCTTACAGTCACATAAAAAATTCCTCCTATGACATAGAATTTAAATCACAAGCAGATTGTTCCAGTGCTCCATAAGCTAAAAAAAACAATTTTTTCTCAAATGTTTACTTGTTCATTTATGAATTCTTCAGAAATATGTTTTGATTGAGAAGTGGTGAGAGATCGTGCTTTTACAGATTTGAAAATACATACTAGCACTTCTCTAAAATTCATGAGTAGTTACAGGTTATTATCGGGATTATTGGGTAAAACTTATAGGCAGAGAGATTTGGATTTGGTATTAGAATCTCATAAGAATTAGAGTTGATTAACTATGAGAAAATTGTAATATTTAAGGAGGGCTTGGCCAGTGCCGCGGCTCAATAGGCTAATCCTCCACCTAGTGGTGCCGGCACACCGGGTTCTAGTCCCAGTCGGGGCGCCGGATTCTGTCCTGGTCACTCCTCTTCCAGGCCAGCTCTCTGTTGTGGCCCGGGAAGGCAGTGGAGGATGGCCCAAGTCCTTGGGCCTTGCTCCCGCATGGGAGACCAGGAGAGGCACCTGGCTCCTGGCTTCAGATCAGTGCGGTGTGCCAGCCGCAGTGGCCATTGGAGAGTGTGAACCAACGGCAAAGGAAGACCTTTTTCTCTGTCTCTCTCTCTCGCTGTCCACTCTGCCTGTCCAAAAAAAAAAAAAGGAGGGCTCAACAAGCTTTATTTCTATCATTTGAAAAAATGTAAGTAATGCAAAAAAATACAAAGGAGAACATAAAAGTAACTGCATATCTCAGCATCTAGAGATGATAATCTTTGAACCTTCCTATTGCATGTCTCTGTACATATATCCATATCTAGGCAGTTTTACATAGGTGAAATCATATTGCTTATGCTATTGTCAACCTGATTTTAATGAAAATATTTGCAGAGTGTTGGACATTTTTCCAGGCCAGTAAAGGTAGATCCATATCATCATTTTCAGTGTTGTGTAATAGCCCATTGTGTCCATACCACAGTTAAGGAAAGATTAAGGAAATTTCTTTAAAATTACCTATTTATTTATGTAATTTGAAAGGCAGAAAGAGAGAGACAGAGGAAGATATTTTTTCTGCTGTTTCATTCTCCCAAATGCTCACAATAGGCAAGGCTAGGCCAGGCTGAAGCCAGGAACCCAGCATTCAAAGCAGATCTGCATTGTGGGTAACAGAGTTCACCTGTTGCCTCTTGTGGTGTGCATTAGCATGAAGGGGGAGTCGAGAATGGAGCCAGGACTTAAACTCAGGCACCCCAACATGAGATGTAGGCAGTACAAGCAGTGTCTTAACAATTGTACCAAATGCCAGCTCTCCCCTTATTAAAATTCTGGTATTAGAATGTCACTCTAGTAGTTGAATGAGTTAGATTTTTTGTAATTTCTTTTTGTTCACATTAGCATAGGTGTCATTGCTCAGAGGGCAGCTGCAGCCTCACTTTTAACAAGTTTTTCCTAAGAAGGGTACCTGTCCTCCAGTTTCTAATTGAGCTGTCTTTCCATTTGCTGGTGACATGGGAGGGTGGTGGTAGCCCTACGTAAACCTTACTGCTCTGCCAATGCTTGAGTGTGCGATTTTGATGATTCTCAGTGGAGTAGAATATAGACATGACTGCCAAGACACCTACATGAAATAACAAGTGGATAAAAATGTTAATTAAAACCTTTCTGCACCAATGACAAATAAATTAGAAAGACTGCTAGTCTTTTTTTTTTTTTTTTTTAGCAAAGCCATGTGCAATTTTATTTACTAATCAGCAAAGATTATCTCTACCATAGACAGTAATAGCTCAATAGCTACATTTTGGGAGACGGTAACTAGATTGTGAGTGCCTTGGTTGCAATGTACCCTTGACACAAATTTATTCCAGTGACTTGGTTTCATTATGAGAATATTTCAGTTGTGAAGAAAGAATCTGTTCTAATGTATATTTAAGTTGTTCTTATATTGACACTTTTTCTTTTTATACGCTTTAATAAAGTTCCTCAATGATAGTAAGTCTTTGGAAGTAAATATGAAGTGCAGCATCATGCACAGAGGTACCAGAGGCTGGACTAACCCGGGGTGTTTCCATGGCAGGTGTTTGAGATGGACATTTCCAAGCAGTTACACGCCTATGAGGTGGAATACCACGTGCTGCAGGACGAGCTGCAGGAATCGTATGCCTGTGAGGACAGTGAGCCTCTGGAGAAGCTGGAGAGGGCCAACAGCCAGCTGAAGAGACAGAACATGGACCTCCTAGAAAAACTGCAGGTACGGGCAGGAGAGATTTGACCAAAGGGCAGCAGGGCCCCCTGCCTGCACAGAGCTGGACCAGCAATGATAGGGGTGTGTGTGTGGATGGCGGCATTGCTGATGAAGCCCTTGGGTGTCAGACCCTGTCCACATGCTCCAGTGGGTTTTGAGGAGAGAAAGTGAACACTCAGAAAATAGTTAAGTGATCATTCAAAGCAAAATCTGGTTAAAGACCTATTGGGTGTTGTACATATTTGGTTATGTTCAAGGGTAGAAGAATTGAATATGGGAAATTGGTGGTAAAGTTGGGGAGTAGGGTATGAGCTAGACTCTCTAGGGTAGGTAAAAGCAAACAATGAGGAGGTCTTTAAGTTGGGATGGGCAGAGGGAGACATCAGTAAGGAAGATGTACCTAGGAGCATAGCTAGCTTGGCACCAATTTGAGATTTATGTTGGAGCAAGGTAGGATAAATATGATCCAAGCAGGAATTAATTGTAGGTGACTTCTCATGTCATGCAGAAGAGCATGGCTTTAAATCCTGTTGACAGTGAAATCTTGCAAAGTTTTTGAGCCATGATTTTGAGTCATCAATCTGGAAACAGATTAGGGTGGGGACAGAAGGTAGGGAGGCCTACTAGAAGACATTTGCAAAAATCTAACTGAAAATGATGAGAATTGTCTAGCGTGAAACAAATGGAATGAGAAGGAGACATTTCTGGAAGAACTGAATGAAAATATAGTCTAGCCGGCGCTGTGGCTCAATAGGCTAATCCTCCGCCTAGCAGCGCCGGCATACCAGGTTCTAGTCCCGGTCAGGGTGCCGGATTCTGTCCCAGTTGCCCCTCTTCCAGGCCAGCTCTTTGCTGTGGCCCGGGAGTGCAGTGGAGGATGGCCCAAGTGCTTGGGCCCTGCACCCCATGGGAGACCAGGATAAGTACCTGGCTCCTGCCATCAGATCAGCGCGGTGCGCCGGCCGCGGCGGCCATTGGAGGGTGAACCAACGGCAAAGGAAGACCTTTCTCTCTGTCTCTCTCTCTCACTGTCCACTCTGCCTGTCAAAAGTAAAAAAACAAACAAACAAAAAACAAACAAACAAAACTATCTATCTATCTATCTATATAGTCTAGTCCCTACCATCAAGGGGCTTACAATTACTTGGGAATCAGAAGCAATGTATGTTTATTTATAAACACATACTAACAAATGCAATACAGTGTTTATTATAAAGTATGATTCTACATCTCCAACTTGTGTGATGTGCAGTGTATACTCATGCCTTGCTGGGCAAGGCTTAAAAGCAGTCAGGAGATGGGATGTGAGCAGGTGTCTGCTTTCTGCTACTATAAGGAAACACCTAAGCTAAGTAACTTATAAATAGAAGAGGTTTATTTAGCTCACAGTTCTGGAGGCTAAAAGTGCAGCTATTCTGGTGCCACCTCTTGTAACGTCCTCCTTGAGTGCACTACTCAGCAGATGGTGAGAGAGAGAGATAACATAGAGACAGCAGGAAGCCAGAGAGTCAGGGAAAGGGCAAGTCTTACTCTTTCATAACAACCCCCTTGCAAGAATTAACCAGGTTCACATGAGAACTACCTTAATCCCATCTGAGGGCAATGCCCTCAGTGACCAAAGGCCTCCCACCTGGCCCCACCACTTAAAGGTCCCACCACCTCTCACATCACCACACTGAGAACAAAACTTCCAGCACATGAACCCTTGTGAACACACTTAGACCATATCCAAACCATAGCAGCAAGTGAGCCTTAGAGAGAGAGGTGAATTCTGAGCTGGCCCTTAAGTGTTTCAGGGCTCCTTGGTTTCTTCTTACTCTGCCCCCACCCCCATTCTCCCAATACTGCACCTGCCTCCACATTAGGAAACCCTGAGACTCTGCTTCTAAGTATTCAGTATTTTTGCAACTCAAGGTGAGCGAGAAATGGATTAGAAATGAGGGGTATCTAAAGTAGATGCTTCGCAATCATAGGAACATCTGACTTCCTTCACTTTATCTTAATTAGCTATGGCTCATAGAAAATTCTATCCCTTTTTCTATTTGAATAATAACAATGATGGTTTATTTTTGATAAGAAAAATTAAGAATGGATATATTGTCCTTTGTTACTTGGTTATTTCACTGATGATTAATTGAGCATTTCCTGACAAATGCCCTATTAGCACTTTGACCTCAGAATCAGCCCTTAAGACATTTGGATCTGGCTGAAAAGCCCATGAGAGCATTTCAGGAGTGGAAAGCCAAGATACTGTGGTAAAAAATGACCAACATGAAGGATCTCTGTGAGATCCCAGTGGAAAGAAGGAGGGGCTGGTGCTGTGGCTCAATAGGCTAATCCTCCGCCTAGTGGCGCCAGCACACCGGGTTCTAGTCCCGGTCGGGGTGCTGGATTCTGTCCCAGTTGCCCCTCTTCCAGGCCAGCTCTCTGTTGTGGCCCGGGAGTGCAGTGGAGGATGGCCCAAGTACTTGGGCCCTGCACCCCATGGGAGACCAGGAGAAGCACCTGGCTCCTGCCTTCAGATCAGCGCGGTGCGCTGGCCGCAGTGCGCTGGCTGCGGCGGCCATTGGAGAGTGAACCAACGGCAAAGGAAGACCTTTCTCTCTCTCTCTCTGTCTCTCTCTCTCTCACTGTCCACTCTGCCTGTTCAAAAAAAAAAAAAAAAAAAAAAAAAAGAAGGAGGAGGTACTTTTCTCTGAAGGGAGGAGAGAACTTCCACTTCGCTTATGACCCTATTTAGATACTGACAGAGTTTGTGGACTGAAAAGGCTTCCACAGCCTGGGCAGCTCCTGACAAGAGCCTCGGGTGATCACTGATGCCATAAATAAAAGTATAAATTGTTAAATCAACAACAGGAGTCACTGTGCACTTTCTCCCCATGTAGGACCTCTATCATTAATGAGGTGTGCTATGAGAATTAATGGTAAAACTAGCCTTCAAGCAGTACTTTATACTTTGTGTGTCTGTGTGGGTGCAAACCGTCATCCTCAAATTACTTTGGCATCACTGACACTCATAAAAATTGATGGAATCCCAAATGTATGTTTAGAGAAATCTGCTTTTCCAGTCAGACAGCAAAAGCCCACTCTTAGTGCCTCTGTCTCCTACAGCCAGGCCAGACTTCATTCCGTGGGGTGTAGACCCAGTGTGGGTAAAGTGGGGAGCCCCACCACTGTGGAGAAGTGATGTGATATTGTCCTGTGTTTTTGCATTGAGAGGAGATGAATCATGTATGAATACTTACATCATGTATGAATCATGTATGAATACTTATATCTTTGAGAAACCTACAAAACTCTCCATTTTCATGGAGGTTTTACAAAGTATTTGCTTCACATCATGTTTTATTAAGCTTAATATGTGCAAGCAGTGGCTGCTATAATGAAGAACCAAATTCTTCAAATTTTTATTTTGGAAAATTAATAAAAAAAACTTTCTTTCTTTCTTTCTTTCTTTTCTTTCTTTTCTTTCTTCCTTCCTTTCTTCCTTCCTTTCTTTCCTTTTCTTTCCTTTCCCTTTCCCTTTCCCTTTCCCTTTCCCTTTCCCTTTCCCTTTCCCTTTCCCTTTCCCTTTCCCTTTCCCTTCCCTTCCCTTCCCTTCCCTTCCCTTCCCTTCCCTTCCCTTTCCTTCCTTCTTTCCTTCCTTCCTTCCTTCCTTCCTTCCTTCCTTCCTTCCTTCCTTCCTTATTTATTTAATTATTTATTTATTTTCCCAAACAGGTGGCTCATGCTAAAATCCAGGCCTTGGAATCCAACCTGGAAAATCTTTTGACCAGGGAGACCAAAATGAAGACTTTAATCCGGACTCTGGAACAAGAGAAAATGGCTTATCAAAAGACAGTGGAGCACATCCGGAGGCTCGTGCCAGCAGATGCTCTACCCAACTGTGAAGTGCTGCTGAAAGACCTCAACTGCAACCCCAACAACAAAGCCAAGACAGGAAATAAGCCATAATTGCAGACGCGCTGACTCGGCAGAAAGTGCTCCTTAACCTACCACACAGAGGAAGAGCCTGCATGATACCAGCCCGCCCTGGACACCTCCGCTGAGGGAACCACCTCCTGCTGGGGCAGGGCCGCGAGGCAGCAGGTGCATCTGGCTCTCCTCGGAGCTTGCCAACCCTAAGCCATCGAACATTTGTAAACTGGGGTTTCCTTTGTTGCTGACTGTATACATATACATACATACATATATATATATATATAGTGGACATGAAGAGTTCACGCTTTCAGATCAAATGAGTGGATGTATATTTAGAGCAGCTCTTTCATTTCTTTCCTTTTTTTTTAAGTCACAATTTCATGGAATCCACACCAAAGGGAAGTTAAAATGAAATCCCCCTCAGACTCATGATGAACTCTTTTTGTCTTTATAGTGAAACAAAGCTCGATCCTCTTTGTATATTGAAGTATACTTGAAAAAATGAATGTATTTTTTTCTCCAAAGAACAGCATGTTTCCTTTAATGGTGGAAAGGTGGAAACATTTATTTGACTTTCTGTGCATCTATCTTAAAATCTGCTGACATTGTCTTGTCGAGGAGGATGACTGTTTGCTGGTCGTGTTCCTGTGGGTTTTGGGGGAAGGTGGGGAGCCTTTCCACCCTGCCTGCTTTGTGCCAACTAACATGTCACATCTCTGTGTATTCAAAGTCCTGTTAGATCTTACTTTAGAACTATGTAGGAAGAAGGCGGGATGTTGTGATCGAGTCTACCCAGGGTAGGGTAAAGGAGATCGTTGCTAATTTTCTAGCAAATTAGATCAACATTGTTACTCAGACTAAAAATATCAGGCCTCAAAAATATAATTTAGTACTTAAATTGTCTGAATTAGCTTTCTACTTTTTTTTATTTAAATGACTCCTACAGCCATGAACTGACTTCCCTTTACCTGGTTTCCACAGTCACCCAGTGACAGGGATTTGCCATTCCCCACCAAATGGTGAGAGCTCTTCATTTGGTTTTCTCTTCCTTAAATACAGGATCAACAAAAGCAATTGCAGTTGATTTTCCAAAGCTGATGCATGGTGTGGAAATACCTTTTGTTGTTGTTGCAAAATTTGTAGACTCTCACAAACTCTTAATTATATTCCCATTTCATGTGACAATCTGTGAGAATGGAAGTGTTTAGGACCGAGCTGTTGAAATCAGTGGGAAGGGGAAAGGAAGATGGTACAGCCCAGTGTATGCTACCGTTCTGCATTTGGACTCCCAGTGTCCTCAGCCCATCTCTAAAGGCATTCATCCTTGGTGGGTATTTGGCAGCCGCATGATTTTTTTTTTTTTTTTTTTTTTTTGACGGGCAGAGTTAGACAGTGAGAGAGAGACAGAAAGGTATTCCTTTTCATTGGTCCACCCCCCAAATGGCCACTACAGCCGGCGTGCTGCACCGATCCAAAGCCAGGAGCCAGGTGCCTCCTCCTGGTCTCCCATGTGGGTGCAGGGCCCAAGCACTTGGGCCATCCTCCACTGCCTTCCCAGGCCACAGCAGAGAGCTGGACTGGAAGAGGAGCACCCGGGACAGAATCTGGCGCCCCAACCAGGACTAGAACCTGAGGTGCCGGTGCCACAGGCGGAGGATTAGCCTAGAGAGCCGCAGCGCCGGCCATAGCCGCATGATTTTCAAAGCACACGTGTGCTTCTCCTTCTCAGAGGTGGTTCTGTGATAGCGCCTCTGAAAGTTGATGCATCAGTTTTGTCTTCCCAAGCTGTGTCTATCCTCTCTCTGTGCTTTTTGCACTACTTTTTTTTTTTTGCAGAGGGGTTACCTGGGGATAATTTTCTTAAAAGGGAGCTCATTCTATAGAAGCTGAAATTTATGACAAGGTAATAGAGTAAAGCTGTCAAGGACTCTGAGAACCTTGATAGAGCAGATGAGAAACTCCATCTACACTGTTACCCAGTATGAATGCAAAGTTCCCTCATCACAGAGCAGCGTGCCCTTGAATCCAAGCCATGTCTTAAAAGATAAGAACGTCTTATCAGTAAAGGTAATGTAACTGTTAGTTTCTAGAAAATGCTAATCCGAGGTGTTCCATTCAGTTGGGAACCTCTGACTGATTTATTGCTTGGATTTCCTAAACCTTTCCATATTGTAGGAAGGGCTTTCCCTAGAAGGATTATTGTATTTTCTTCATGTCTGGTGATAATAATTGCCTTTGGGGTGTGATACACAGGTGGTAGGTAGTCAAGGAAGCTTCAGGTTAAGGGAAGGGACTTCTTTCTGTTCAGTTTAAATTGAACTTTATTCTGGATGTTTAGAGTCAACATAAGTAGTTACATTATGTTGTTCAGAGATTAAGGTAACTTGGATACAATATTTGTTTTGAAAATTAATTTCCTTTTTCATTTGTGATTTTGTAAGTGCTACACCAGTTGTGCTTCATGCATTGTTACATCTTCATGAGGTTAATGTCAAGTCTAGGTCATTTCCAATAAATTCATTGCTGCAGTATCCCTGGCTTACTGGTTTTACTTGTGGTACTTTTTGGGAGAGAGGAAGCTCTTGGTTAGAGCCCATAGCAAGATCTGTATGGGTTGGATTGCTACCACTTAAGACTCACACATTGATAATTCTTCCTCATAGGAACTGATAACAGTGAAGATAAGTGAAGAGGCACTTATGAAGGTATGTTGTTACCAATTTTCAACTTCTTTCCCAATGAAGCCTTTTGCTGTTGATACAGAGAAAAAAGAAAGGTAGAGCCAATATTGTGCTGTAGGGGGTAAACCCCTACTGCCTGCATTGCCAGCATCCCATATGGGCTCCATTTCAAGTCCTGGCTGCTCCACTTCCCATCCAGCTCCCTGCTAATGTGCCTGGGAGAGCAACGGAGGATGGCCCAAGTGCTTGGGCCCCTGCACCCATGTGGGATACCTGGGTGAAGTTTCTTGTTTAGACCTGGCCCAGCCTTGGCTGTTGAGACCATCTGGGGAGTGAACCAGTGGATAGAAGATCTGCCTCTCTCTGTCTCTGTAACTCTGCCTTTCAAATAAATAACATAAATCTTATAAAAAAAAAAGAAAGAAAAAGGCAAACACATTGGCAGATTTGCATCGTATGCATTTTTATTATCTAGACCCCTCCCCACTAGGTAAAAAGGGAAAGAAAGTGTATAAGGAAATATACAATTTCTCAATTGGACTAGATTCCAAATAGCTAAGAGTTAAGGAAACCTACTGATGGATATGATATGAACATGTTGATTTGAACCAAATATTTCATTTTCCATGTGTGGGTAAGATCTATAAATGTTAACACCTGGACACCACAATGACATATCCCTTAAAATATCTCACATAAGAGAAATGAAATAACCAATCTTTGCTCTCCATCTGTCAGATCACTTTAAGCAGAATGCCTTCTGGATCTGTAAGTTTTGACTGTGGTAAGACTGAATATATTTGCAAAGCTCAAGAAAGATTAGGTTAATCAGAACAGGACTGGTTCATCCCAGAAAGACAGAAGAAGAAAGCCAGTCAGGAGAGCCAGCTGGAGAGAACCTTAGCCAAGACTCCTTCCTGGCAAGGCTGTCCTCATTGTTAAATGAATACAAGCAGTTAGGGCCTGTAGAATCCAAGTGTTTTGTTTCCTCTGCCAAGTGAGAGTGATGTGTCATCTGTGTTGGACAGGTGCCCTAAACTTGTCGCTAATGTACCCCACTTGTTTGAAGTCTGCTCTCAAAGCAGCAGTCTATTTCCAACTCAACTTTTCTCTGTTGTCAAGAGAGGCCAGGATAGAAAGCTACAAATATTCTGATCCCTGTGACAGCTCTAGATAAAAGTAAAACAGGAATTACAATTTTTGGCATTGTGGTAAGCTATACCCAACATAAAATTCCTCATCTTAATCACTTATAAGTAGACAGTTCAATGACACTAGCTATAGTTGCATTGCTGTGTAACCCACCACCACTATCTAGCTACCAAATTCTTTCCATCTTGTAAAGCTGAAACTATACTCGTTAAGCATTAATCCTCTGTTACCTTCTCTGAGCCCCTGATAATCACCATTCTACTTTCTCTATGAGTCTAACTGCCCTAGGTACTTTACATTAAGTAGAAACTTAATTCTATTTGTTCTTTGTGACTGATTCGTTTTACCTAGTGCAGTATCTTCAAGGTTTATCCATGCTCTAGCATATGTCAGCATTTCCTTCCTTTTTAAGGCTGAATAATACCCCATTGTATACACATACACCACATTTAGTTCTTTCATTCCTTTGGAAATGGTCGCTTGGGTTGCTTCCATCTTTTGGATAGTGTAAATGCTGCTGCAATGAACCTGGACATGAATGTATGAATACATCAGTCTCAGCAGCTTGGTTTTTGTGAGTCCATCCATGAAGAATGAATCTGTGGTTTATGTACTGATGCTATCAAATTGCTGAGCCTGTAAAGGCCCCAAACTGGAACAAACTCGCCAGGAGCAAGTGACGGTTTTCTGGGTGATTTATTATTATATGAGGGGAGGGAACACTAGAATGTACAGATTTGATGTTGGGAAAATGGATTTTCTTGATAATAATGCTGCTTTTGCAAACTGCATATTTTTCCAAGAGCTACTCAAATGTTGCTAATATTCATGTTCTTTCGCAAAATAAAATTCTCAAATAGCCTGATGTTTTGCTTCTCAAATTGAAATCATTTGCAAGTTCATAAATATTATTCTCCAGAGAACATATTACTCAGAAACAATCATTTCAGTTAAAATACCTCTTATACTCTGTGTTTAGGGACATCTCAGAAATAAAACATCTCCAAATGAAATGAGAGCATTTCCCATGTTGACTTTGACCAACTTGGGCGTATTTCAATTTTCTTTTTTTTAACGGTTTTATCTAGCAAGCAATTACTTTGTCCAGTCTGTTCTCCACTTCAGCCTTTCTACAGTAAATTGGATGCTTTTAGAGAGAAATCGCCACCATTCATTGTTTAGTAAATCTGTTACAGCTTATGTAATTAGAGCATTCATTAACACTTTAATAGTATTTAGATTTAAAGTCCCAGGCCAAAGCAGGGAGGGATGTATCAGTGACCTGAGTGAGTTAATATGCTTGCTTTTCCTTCTATTTTTCCTGAAGCTAAACTCATTATCAACTGTGTTTGCCGTTGGATCAACTATCTTACCAACTCAAAAAAAAAATGCATTTCATATGCTGTTTCAATACAAGGATTACCAGACATAATACCAGTGTAAATCAGGAAAATTTACTTGTACAGTTGTACATTTCCATTCCTCTGCTCTTTCAGAGCCTGCAAGAAGTGGGCAGAGAGGTATTAAGAGTACAGCCCTCTACCTTGAAGGCACTGTCACAATCAAAACACCACTTCGTGGGAGACAGTGCTAATTCTCTGTTTGAAGGAATGTGTGAAGAGGTGACAGCCATGCACTGTTTGTTGTGCAGGTTAACTTTTGCTGTGACAAGCAAAGTCAGGATGAAGAAACTCATGATTTTGTAGGCTTTTTATTGAGCTGATTCATCACCAAAGAAGCTTATTTCTGTACATGGCAAGGTACATGGAAGAACTGGTTCCATCCATTGCATTTTTGGATTGACAACCACATGAATTGTTAGCAGCATCTGTGAAAGCCATTTTCCATGGCTCTGTAGCTCTTGTATTATCTCAGGGTTTCCCAAAATTTATTTCTGGAGAATGCATATAGCTCCTACAAGGAAACTGAATCTATGGCCAAGCAAATTTGAGAATCAATGGATTGAGCTAAATCAGAGTTCTTCCCAGAAGCTTTAGCTTAGTGCTAACTCCTCAGGAGGAAGATGCACTGAGAAAGCCCTGAGTAGCCTGGTATAAGGAGCTGAGGATTTATGGACTCTCCACGCAGTGGGGAATCTGGCTCTTTCCCTTGCTACCTGTTGATTTAGTCAAGTCATCAAGCTTTCTAGAAGTTGAGATTCTTTATCTGTGAAATGATGGACTTCAGGTAGACCCTCAAGGCTCTATTCAATTGTATGAATTCAGTGGTAGTTGATTTTCCAAAGCTCCAGGTGAATTCTGTAAAGCCCATGGAAAAAGAATTCTGGCTTTGCTTCCAGTCTTCACTATGATATTCCGTCTTCATTGAATAGCTTGCCTTTGTTTTTCTAAAAAACACCATGCTACCAATGAGCCAGTAAATCATTTTTATCAGCCATTTTTTCCCTCTAAGTTTTACAAGTGAAGTTGAAACTGTATGGTTAAGCTTGTGTGAAAACAAGGAAGTAAAGAATCCCTCCACCCACTCTTCACTTTTGGTGTTGGCTCACAGCGACCACATTTTATTTAGTCTTGCTTTTCTTCATAGGAATAGTGAAGGCAGAAGAATATTTCATTATTTCTTCTAATTTGAGAAAAATATTTCACCTTATATTTTATTTCTTTTGGAAAAATTGAGTCAAAAAATATAGAAGGCCTTTGAATTATCACGTATTTCTATAAATGCTTTCTACTGAAATGCTGCTGCTAGCAATCTATGCTTAATTTCCATCTTCTGTCACATGAGTGACAGTGATTAGCTTTCTAGCTAATAAAGAAAGGCCTTGCATCTGTCTTCTTCTCATCATTAAGAAAGGCAGGTTTTTATTTGTATAGAAAATAATAAACAGGGGCTGGCACCATGGTACAGCAGGTTAATCCCCTGCCGGTGGTGCCAGCATCCCATACAGGCACCAGTTCTAGTCCCGGCTGCTCCTCTTCCAATCCAGCTCTTTGCTGTGGCCTGGGAAAGCAGTGGAAGATGGCCCAAGTGCTTGGGCCCCTGCACCCACATGGGAGACTGGGAAGAAGCACCTGGCTCCTGGCTTTGGATCGGCGTAGCTCTGGCCATTGCAGCCATTTGGGGAGTGATTCAGCCTTGTGTCTCATGTGGGTGGCAGAGATCCAATTACATGAGCCATTACCTACTGATTCCTAGTAGCCAGGATTCCACCTTAGGCACTCTGAGATGGGAT